TGGACAGACACTTCAGCCATATGAGTGGAAACCGTCGAGAGGCAACCCACCGTTTTCGTCGCATGACATTGCCGAGTTAGATTTTGAAGAAATTAATTAATACACTTCTGTTTTGTATTGAATATTTCTTCTGGATTAACTATGGAACACTATATCTGTGATAGCTTATATACTTTGAAATTTGATTTGTAATCTCAGTTTTGGGGTGTGCTAATTGAACTTGATATTTGTATGTCTAAACTGAATTACAATTACTCTCGCCGTGTTGTCGTGGGGTTGTGAAATATCACCTGTCTAAACCGATATAAACTTGACGGTATCGCGAAAATCCAGCCACGACCATTCACGCGAAGGCTGCGACCTCGGAAAATGCATTCCTCCACCGCTCTTCGTGTTTACCTTGTAATCCAGCAGGTATGACGTAGAACCCATCCAATGCATGCTGTTGTTTGAGGGCAAAGGTTAGCATGCTGGTGCTCTTACCCTTCGCGGTTTTAGTCGAGATGCGAACTTTCAACGACACACCAACGAGGTGCTGCAAGGCCGTCGCGCTCGCGATCCCCAGGCGTACGATGCGATTTTGGAGGTCCCATTCACACTTGAAGATGTCGAGTAGGACATCCGTTTTCACCGGTTGTTGTGGAGCAGGGACGCCATCGCAGCCTCCTCTCTGATGCTCGTGGTATGTTGACCCGTCTTATGTGAAGCCAACCAACTATCTCACGCATGTCATGTTGTTGGACAGGCAGCGTATCCTCATAGGTTAAGGTTTCAGCAGCGTGCTAGAAAAGCAGCGCCTCAAGGTCCTCCATGGACGGCAAGTGCGCGCCGATGTCTTAGGCACGGGGGCTTGGGCTACTGCGGCCGGTTGTGCAGCGAAGACTACCCATGGGTCAACTCGAGTGGTCGTGGTGCGTACAGCCGGCGCGGGGGGTTGCTGAGGGGGTGCGTTGGGTGGTTGTACCGTGTACCTGACGTCTGCTGAGCAGTTCATCCCCCCATCAAGAAGGTCCAGGGGACGGGTCTTGGGGAGATGCGGTTGGCTCGGCAGCGGGGTCGGCGGCGGCGGAATTGGCAGCAGCAACGTCGATGCGGTCATGCTCATTGACGTGACTGGGAGGACCAGACATGTCGTCGTCTGGCCGGTCCCCAGCGACAGAAGTAGCAGCGCGAGCATGAGGCTCGACTCGAAGGCGGGAAGGCAAGGAAGAAGGCGAGGCAGCCGTAGGCGGCGTTGCCGATGCCGGGGCAGAGGTCTTAGCGTTGTTAGCGCGGGTAGAAACCATGTTGCAAGGTAAAGTAGGTCGTCGATACACAGCAAATTAGGAAATGGGGTTATGTAGCTCAGCTTCAGTGTCAAATAGGACTTTATTAGGATTTCTCCTAATGCTAATATTGCCCAATGGGCTCACCTAATTCCAAATGCCATTGCAGGTGCAGTGGTTTTGGAGTGCACTGGGTTTGGCAGGTTTTCAATAAATAGAGAGAGGTACCAGTGATTGGTGGGCGGGAGAGTAATCGTGAGTCCGACGTTTGAGGTGGTCGACCGAGGAACGTTCTTGGAGCCGGGCCTTGAGGGTGATGGGCGCCACTTGGCTTCGAGGAACCGGATTTCTTGATGTTGACGAGGTTGTCTCAGCGTAGCATCGCCCGGCGCAGTGGCCATGCTGGTCTTGTCGGCTAGCGCGTGGGAAGCGACGCGGCGGCGGAGGTCGGCGCCAGCAGCAAAGAGTTGGGATGCTTGGCCCAGAGAAAACGGTAGGCGGCTTGGACACGCAGGTTGTGTAGGACACACACGACGGAGGAGCGGACAGGGCAGTCGGGGTCTTGAAGGCGCAGCCATCGGCGGACCGAGGTCATCCAGCCGAGGAACGACAGCTCGGTCCAGGCCAGGTAGGGTAGCGGGGTAGCGTCTTCATACTGGACCTTGTTGTGTTGGGCCCAGATGAGGTGGAGGGTCGCGCCAACGAGCAGGCGCCACAGGATCCCCAGGGCCTCTTTGTGGGGGTCCCCGACTTGGTTGACCTCGAAAAGGTCGGGGTCCGAGATGGTGGACCATGAAAAGCTCACTCCGTAATGGCCCCAGGCGCCGCGGTGGAACGCCCACACAGGGTGGAT